ATGGTCTGGGAAACATCCCTGAGGACGATCCAAAGACAACATACATATGCACACATCCTGTTATACAAGGAGGACACACTCACATACCATCCATTCATCAGCAGATCGCAATTTTGACCTGAATCAGAGCACGAATCTCCGATTCAGTACCCCCAAAGATATTGATTTGTTATGGGAACTTGGAGGACATTGAACGTGTGCCAGTTACCATCTTGTACACAGGGAATCTTCGGCTGGCGAGGATCGAACTCACGCCTTACCAGCCAGACTATCCCAATTGTGAAACTTTGCGACATCCTTCTCTAACTTGTTCTATCAGTTCCCAACTTATAAGCAGCACTTTAATGAACTCACGAGCCTACATACATACATTTACAACCATAATGAAATAAATAAATAAGGGGCTTCCCTGGTCGAGCTGTATCACCCACCAAACTTGGAAGTAGAGGGTTCGAACTCTGCCGAGGATGAATCTTTGTCCTGTTCTTCTCGTATTGTGTACCCTTCTACTTGACAAAGGCTTATAAGCCTTAATTGAACACACAAGCCTGCAAATGCATGCTGTATCAAATAAACACACAAGCCTGCAAATGTATGCTGTATCAAATAAACAAAACAAACTAATAAAATATATAATGATGTGTATAATGATATATGATGATTCAGTGGAAACATGAATAATTTTTTACGAAACTATGGGTTTTTGTGCACATTTCTTTAGCATGAAGTATATAAATCTAAAGTATGGAAAAGTTGTAACATTTGAAGCAAAATATTTTTGTTTTAAAGTGTAGAATTCGACAGCAAAAACAGTTCACCTGGAATAAATTTGACAAAACAAAGGTAATCTTTTCTTCATTTATAAATTATCTATTAATCATGAATCATAAAAATATGTAAAAAAGATTTTTTTAATTAAAAATACAGACCAGTATTGCATTGCACTTCTAAATGTTTTCGTATCAGTCTGCAATGCAAATAACGAAGGAAAATGTACTTTAAGTATCATACGATTGACAGATGGGACCATAAATATTAAAATACCTTCAATTAAATTTTTGTGTTGTGTTCTATTAGGGCGATGAAATTTTAAATAAGGTGAACTTTAAGCAATACTGATAAGCTACATTCTATTTCCAGGTGAAATATTTTTCCATTAAACTGTTTCAAAGTGTTTTTTCATATAGGTACTTTACAAGTTTCTAGAAAACTCCACCAGATAATAGCACAATACAATTGTACGAAAATCGCGGTAATTTTTACCAAAAACTTTCTAATCAACAATTTGAAAATGTGGCTAATCATATTCCTTCAATTGAAGCTGTCAATGTTAAAGAGGAGTATGTTACAAATTTGCAATTGAAACAAATAAATAACTGTCTCAATTGTGGAAAGATTGTTTTAATTGCTTTCAAATTGTTAGATTCTCTTCTTTAGGCAGTCGAGAAATTTATTCGGTATTTGATAATCTGTGAATGATATTCCAAAATCAACAAAAAACTTATTTCGTGAAAATGTTACATACCCCTTTTAACATAGACCACTTCAGTTTTAAAATGTACCTTTTCTTTGTTATGCACTTATGCTATGCTTTGCCATTATTCATTATAAATTGAAACTGCTGTTGAATTTAGTACTCATTCTAAGGTGAAAAGTTTAACGATAGTTGAACTCGAATACTTTGTATTTTGAAGTTTATACTTTACTTTTCATAAGTAAACTTTAAACACATAGACACCGATGGAAAATTGGTGTTATATTTATATACCTTTTTATGATACTCTAATTACAAGCAAAACTATGTTTTGATGTTTTTTAATTCCAAAAAACAGTCTAACAGTTACTAGGAAATCTGTTATATTATGGAAATTATATTAAAATATAAAATCCAAAAAAGGAGTTTTAAACTTCTTTCATTCATTTTTGTAAATTTATTAATAATTGATAAATTAAAGTAATTAGTTGATAATGCAAATTAAAGAAATTTCAATGATTGATAACTGTTTCTCTTAGATTTAAATAATTCATGTAAGTCTAGATTGTAAGCAATCATAACAGCAATTCTTGAAGATACCGCGATTGACACGATGGCTTTTTATTATTATTAATAATTTTTTTAAAATCAAAATTCACGATCAAAATGTCATGATACTTACATACCTTATTTTAATCTCTGCTTACAACCCAAAATCAGCATGTTGATAATGCATCCCTGCTTATAGTGCATAATTTTTATTTGTTATTTTATTTGCTATTGTTTCCATTTTATTTAAATAAATCAGAGGGTCTTTTTGTGTCCTCGTTCCTTCTCCTGCTTTTATTTTTGGGTCACGCATTTTTTAACGAATGTTCAGTACAGCGTTAGTGCTAGAATTTTTAGGTATCCTGTGTTTTCTCTTAACTCGTTCTACGCCAAAACTGACCCCAAGCTTGAAGCATTGCATCCAGATGCCTAGTAGAGATCTTGAGATTAGTGGTGCAAGTAAATCAAATTATTACGTATTACGTAATAATTTGACGTAATAATTTATGTAATAATTACTTATTACAATAATCAAGTGTTACGTTATTTTTTAACCAAAATGTTCTAATTGGGTGTTACATTTAAAATGTAGTTACCTTGCCCTTCAGGAGTATAATTAATAATAATTATAATAATAAAATGCTTCAAAAATTGCAATTTTCGAAAAGATTTAAATGCTTTTCTGTCCAAGTAAATGAATAATTTGACGTAAATTATAATTTGACGTAATAATTTACGTAAGAATTACGTATTACAATAATAAAGTATTACAATAATAAAGTATTACATTATTTCTTAATCAAAATGTTCTATCTGTGTGTTATATTTAAAATGTAGTTACCTTGCCCTTCAGGAGTGCAATTAATGATAATAATAATGAAATGTTTTAAAAATTGTAATTTTCGAAAAGATATTAAATGCTTTTCTGTCCAAGTAAATAAAACTATCTTTTTCAAGAAATAGTATAGAAATTGTGGTATTAATAAGTAGCTCTATCTGGAACATTACTCTTAAAGTACTTCTATTAAGTTTCGCACATTTCCTAAAATATTATTTAACGTTTTACGCTACTGAACAAGTATCGTATTGTTACTATTCTTGGAACCATCTCTCATTATCGTAACATTTTGTGCTCTTAGCCCTTTAAGGACCGTAATCACATGATGGCGAGATACTTTCTTCATAGCTCATGCGTGATTTCAATTTGGAAAGTTTTATTTCAATTTTTAAACAAAATTAGATGGCAGTTGAATTCCATTGTGATTTCTAACTGACCTTCAATATGTGCTTTTGGTTCCAGTTATTTATTATTCTTTTATCCGTTGTATTTAATCATGTTAACAATTGTGCATGTTCTGATCTTTCAAAAGGATTGTGTACGTGCAAGATTGTGCTCTGGGCTTTTGCTTATATTTTGACTTAGTGGAAAAAAAGACAGAATGTTTATTAGTTTAGATATGTAGTTTGCAGTTTGGGGCTCAATAGATAGTTTTTTGTATGTTTTAGGTCAGTTTTTAAATTATTTTTTATTTGTTTACTTTTATAACTATAGCAGACATTTTATTACGGTATATTCAGGTACTGTCAATGATAATATACTGAAATTTTCAGTGTATTTAATTGCAGTAATGATTTTATATGAATTTTTAAATTAAATTAGGCTTAACGGGAAGAAATCACCCTGTCCCATGATTACGTATAGTCCCGAAGAGGTTGAGCCTGGAAAAGCTCTTCATTTTCCTTTCTTCAGAATCGGTTAAGATTTATAATTATTAATAATTATAGGTTTAAGTTTTTTGTTTTAGATTCGACAAAAATAAAATTTTTTTTTTCTCTTTTGTTAGTCAACTTGATAAACGTAATTTTTAAAATTTTTGTTTTATTATTCTACATATTTTATTTATTTGATGGAATTTTTATTTTATTCTTTTATTTCAATTATTTCATTCTTAAATTGAAAACTTAATTTTTTTCATTTTATTTCATTTATTTACTTGAGTCTTAATTTCATTTTGTTATTCTACATATTCTGTTAATTTAATTTTCGGTTACTGCTATGTCATGAGGCTTGATTATGTTTTTTCGGTTACTGCTATGTCATGAAGCTTGTTTACTAGTTCCAAAAACATTTATTTATAACTCATTACTAAAATAAATATTGCTATCATTTTTATGATGCTTCAATTTTTTTTTTGAAAAATATAGATGAGGATCAATCTGATACATCATAAATTATAAACATTTAATTTTGAAATGTTTTAGAATTATTTTTGCAATGAAATAAGCTCAAAGAACAGAACTATAGTTTTAAAATAAATATAATTAAATAAGAACTAAAAAAAATGACGTTTTTAAGGGGGCCTAAAAAAGAAAAAATAATTCTTTTTTGTCACACCTAAAACGAAAAGGTATATAAAACATAAAACGCGTCTCCTTCAAAAGACATGGATGGATTTTCTTAAGGAACAGAAGCTAATAGCAAAAATGATGTGCCTAACGTTTTTGATTTTAGGTGTGCTAAAAACAGGATTATTTCCTCTCTTTTAAGTCAGTTTTTGAAAACTTTATAATTTATTACATTATTTTTTTCTTGTTTTTGTTTCCGGACTATACATTTTGTTTGCAACGTGTAGAAAACAATTTCGATATGAATTATCATCCGATACAAAGTGCCAGCTAATATTTTGGCACTCCAGATAGCCTTGGCACTCCAGAAAATGGTCTGAATTTCGAGTGATGATAAATTGAATCTGGAAATAAAGTGGGTTTGTTCAGAAAAAGATTGAAACCTATATTGCGGCCATGCAGCACAGAGCTCCAATTGAAACTTTAGTTATTCTGAAAATAGTAGAAAATCAGAATAACGATATCAATAATACCGCGATAAATAGCTCTTGTAATGGTTAAGAAACTATTGGAATTTGTTTTTTTTATCAAGCATAAAACTCCAGCAGGGATTTGAGAGCTCCAGCTAGTGGAAAAGTGGTCAAATTTTTTATTACAAAATTTATCAACACCAGAACAAAGCAAAATCTTAAAAACGCTGTAAAATCTGACATTTTTGAAGATTTTATATCAAAGAATGCATTTTGATGAATATACTAACTATGTTAACTATTGAAATGATGTGATTTTATTGACTTTAAAACCGAATTTGGGAATTTATGCCAATCAAGTTTTGACTTATTTGAGTCAAAAATACTATATACTTACTTAAAACATTCAATTACAATACATTATTTTTTAATATTTCCACGTTTCGCTTTTATATTCGTATTGCCCGACAATGAATTAAACTTATCATATAGATGACAACCTTATAGGTGAATATTCTGAAAAATATCTGGAAGACGAACGATAACATCATAGCCACATAATGGTCTCATAATAGTCACTAGAGCTGCTAATTCACCTTGCAAAGCTTGAGTCATTAAGATTTGGTTTCCATAGTTAATGACAGCTAAGCGCATAATTAAAAATCCCTGTATTCTACAGTCATGCCATTATACATCCGCTAACTTCTATTATAATAACTGTTTTTAGGATAACAGAATCCAAAATTGAACACCATAAATACATGATGAACGACCTTCAACCTTCGAATAATAATTATTTGACTCGCATTTAAAGTTATCGACTCAATACCAGCTAGGAGGCAATAAGCTAATTTCTTAGGTAGTCAAACGATTATCTAGAAATCCATTTTTTAATTCCACTCAAAACAAAGGAAATTCCAATAATTGTTGAACCGATGATGCTATATTTATCTGGGATATCCTTAAATATAAAAGTCTGAAAGAAGAACGATAACATTATATCCATACTCGCTCTCATAATAGTTACTGGAGCAGCAAACTCACCTTGCAAGGCTAGAATTAGTAAGATTTGGCTCGCATAGTTAAACACAGCTAAGAGGATAATTAGAAATCCCTGTATTCCACAGTCATGCCATTTGATTGTTCCGGTAATTGCTATTACAATAACTGCTTCTAGGACTCCTATCCACCCTAAATTGAACATCATAACAGCATGAGGAACGTCCTTCAACTTTCGAATAAATATTATTTGAAACGTATTTAAAAGCACTGACCCAACACCGGCGAGGAGGCCGTAAGTAGTTTCTTTGGAATAAGCAATCGTTTTTCCTTCGAAAATGGCGAGGAGTTTTACAACGAAGCATATTCCGACGATGGTGAGGATAAGTATCAAACCTTGAGAGATTCCGCAAGGTTCTTTCAGAAGTAGTTTAGCAAATAAAGCTACGAATGCAGGATAACTTAAAATGATGACTGAGGCTTCTCCAAGAGGTAGAAAACGGAATGACGTGTAACTGAGAAAAATATGGGTTGCTCCCAAAATGCATCGGACAAAAATTGTAAGTCTTTCATGTTTTTGTCCGAAAACATTGCCTTGGAATTTAACAGCTTCCGGTAATGAAAAGAGAAAAATTCCGATAAAGCGGATAAGCACCAGTTGCGGAGTGGGAATGTTGAACATGTATTTGACCAGCAAAGCAGTAGAAGCGAAAAACAAACCTGACGACCCTCCCAAAAAGAGTCCTTTGAAAATGGAGAAATCACATTTTGTAACTGTTACTGATTGTTCTTCACTTTGCACCAAAGTCGGAACAGGAAAAGATTTCTTCTTTCGAAAATTCATGTCAACCAACGAACATCTGAAATATGGAAAATATATTAAAACACAATGATGTTGCATATGATGTATTAAAAATTGCATATCATGTTCTGATTTTGTTCTTGAACAAATAAAGATGCTAAATTGTGATGCCATTATAGGCAATTGCGATGTATTATACATACATATTTCCACGCTTGTAAATTCCCTTTATATCAGAAATTTAATCATTTTTAATCTTTCCTAATCACTCTTTAAATTGACCCTAACAGCAAAATAACTTGAGCCTCATAGGACTATTATTCACGAATCTTGTCTCAATATGGGTTTAAAAAACTGTTATTTCCTGATATTGGCCCTATATAGAATTGTCCAACTTACCCGATATTTTACAGTCACTTTACAACCAATGTTAGCCCTATATAGAATTGTCAGATTCACCCGATATTTTTATTCAGCCCATATAGGCAACTCTAGGAACTAGACATCCCGATATGGATCCCTAGGTGCATGTTCTTATAGGACCTATATTGAGCCAATATTGAGTCACACTGGAACCAAGGTGAAATAGTTGCTGGGGAATAAATCAGTTAATTTATTTTCATTCAATATATAAAAAACTAATCCAAATATTTCTATTCTCAATAAATGTAACGCTTAACTTTTTATTCCAACACTAGTGTAAAACTAATTCAATGTTATACGACATGTGAGTTTCAAAATTTATTTTTAACTATTCTTTCTTCGACCACTAATGGGGTTTGTTGAGAGTAAATTAGACTGAAAGTATCACATGGAACAAACTGAAACTTAACTTTATTTCCGTCAAAATATATATGTTACCGGCAAAATATGAAACGCCGGTATTGTATAGAATGCCTGGGCATTGTATAGAATGCCGGATGTTTTTAGGCTAAGTATGAAATGTGAGAATTATTACATACTTTCCCTAGGCATTGTATGTAATGCCTAGGCATTCTATAGAATGACAAATGCTATTAATGCAAAGTATGAAATAAACGTCCTGATGAGATCATTATGTAAATGATGTGCATGTTACTGTGAATGATCCAAATCGGTGGTTGCTGACTTTCACCGGTGAATGTTGACAATCACATAGTCGCTTTGGTGAATGCCCGAAATATTTATTACATCCGATTTGATATTAATTTATTCGAGGATATAATTACATTTATTCGTGGATATAATTACATTTATTCGTGGATATAATTACTTCGTGGATATAATTTATTCGATATTTTAATACTTACTGACGATAGATAAGAAGAAACATCAGTGTTAGGAGTATCGGGCAAATATACACCGGGCAATGGCACTTGACCATAAAAAAATATCAGTGTAGTGTATACCGGGCAGTGGCTCTGAACCTTAAAAAAACATCAGTGTAGGGTATACTGGGTAAATGTATATCGGGCAGTGACACTTAACTAGACCTAGTATATATTTCGGACATTTACCAAAGGTCTAGTCATACTAGGTCTAGTTAAGTGCTAATGCCCAATATATATTTGCCCGGTATACCCTACACTGATGTTTTTTTAAGGTCAAGTGCCACTGCCCGGTATACCCTACACTGATGTTTTTTAAGGTTAAGTGCCACTGCGTCAAGTGCCACTGCCCGGTATACCCTACACTGATGTTTTTTAAGGTTAAGTGCCACTGCCCCGGTATACCCTACACTGATGTTTTTTAAGGTTAAGTGCCACTGCCCGGAGTGCCACTGCCCGGTATACCCTACACTGATGTTTTTTAAGGTTAAGTGCCACTGCCCCGGTATACCCTACACTGATGTTTTTTAAGGTTAAGTGCCACTGC